TTGTTTACATTTACAGGAGATGCTGCTGCCTGCTTCTTATTTACAATGTCACCTGAAAGTGAGAACATGCACTTTTGTAGCCAGTATTGCAAGGTATTTATGGGCCAGATATGCTAAACATTCATATGCCCCTTCATGCTTCTGCCACCATTCCCAAGGATATGCTTCAATGCTGATGATGCTTGTTAAAAAATAATGCATTAATTAAATTTGTGACTGAACTCCTGCGGGGAGAATTGCATGTCTCTGGCTTTGTTTTACCCGCATTCTACCATATATTTCATGTTATAGCAGTCTCGGATGATGACTCAGCACAAGTTGTTCATTTTCAGAACACTTTCGCTGCATATTTGACAAAACGCAAAGAAGGAACCAATGTGAGATTTCTAAAGATAGCTACACCACTCGACCAAAGGTTTAAGAATCTGAAGTGCCTTCCAAAATCTCAGAGGGACAAGGTGTGGAGCATGTTTTCAGAAGTCTTAAAAGAGCAATACTCCGATGTGGAAACTACAGAACCTGAACCACCAAAAAAGAAAAATCAACCTTCTGCTGGTGGCATTTGACACATGAAAATGAACATGTGTCGGTCCACACTGCTTTGGATCGTTATCAAGCAGAACCCGTCATCAGCATAGACGCATATCGTCTGGAATGGTGGTTGAAGCGTGAAGGAACGTATGAATCTTTAGTGCATCTGGCATGTAAATATCAGAGGCAGCCTGGGGTAGGGGGTTGGAATGTGGGAAGGGGTGAGGGCTCTGGCTGGGGGGGGCTCTGGACTGGGGCTGGGGATGAGGGGTTTTGAGTGCACGAGGGGGCTTTGGGTTTGGGGGGGCTCAGGACTGGGCAAAGGGTTGGGGGTTGGGGTGCGGGCTTACCTCAGGCGGCTCCTGGTCAACTGTGCAGCTGGGCTAAGGCAGGCTCCCTGCCTGTCCTGGCACAGCACTGCACCCCAGAAGCGGCCAGCAGGTCCGGCTCCTAGGTGGGGGGGCCAGGAGGTTCCACGCACTGGTCTTGCCTGCAGGCACTGCCCCACCCCCGGCTCCCATTGGCTGCGGTTCCTGGCCAATGGGAGTGCAGAGCTGGTACTCAGGGTGGGGGCATCGTGTGGAGCCCTGTGGCCCCCCCGCCTAGGAGCCGGACCTGCTGGCCACTTCCGGGGTGCAGCGTGGTGCCAGGACAGGTAGGGACTAGCCTGCCTTAGCCCTGCACCACCAGCAGTGCTGACTGGAGCCACCAGGATCCCTTTTTGACCTGGCGTTCTGGTCAAAAACTGGACACCTGGCAACCCTAGGTGGAGTAGAAGCTTGAGAGAGACAGAGTAGGAGAAGGCTCAGGGAAATGGCCTTCGGGAAGTTGCAGACTTGGCTGCTAATTAGAGAATTTCTGAGCTGGAACCCAGAGCTAGAGGGTGGGTCTGGGTTCCCCTGCCAGCCACTGGGGAAGGTGAAATAGGCAGGGGCAGTCAGGGAGAAGACTGCCATTTTGGATGAAGAGACTTTGATAACCGCAGGTGGGGAAAACACAGTAGAATAATAGAATCATAGAAGATTAGAGTTGGAAGAGACCTCAGGAGGTCATCTAGTCCAACCCCCTGCTCAAAGCAGGACCAACCTAAGTTCCCTGTAATCTGTGTGGCCGCGCAACAGCCTATTTAGCGCTGCGCAAGCGCTTAGGGAACCCACCAGGGGACATGCCGAGGCCAGGGGAGGGGCTCTCCTCTCCCAGACCCAACTCACCATGTGGCCCGGACCTACTGCGACTGGAGCAGCCCGGACCCAGGCGCAGCCGAATTGGGCCTATACGTGGCCCCAGGCACGGCCGGGGCAGTGAGGATGGAGTGGCATGGACCCAGTAGCACTCGGATTGGGCCCAGGTGCAGCTGGGGCGGCGCAGCCGGCGTGCCACGGATCCAGCCACAGCCAGATCGGCCCCAGGCACAACCCCAGGTGCAGCCGGGGCAGCGCAGCCCGGGCTGGATTGACCCTGGAGCAGCCCAGACCCAGCCATGCAGCTAGAGCAGCCTACCTAGGCAGCCCTCCCCGGGCCCGGACCTGCTGGAGCCGGGGGAGGGGTGCCTATCCTGAAGCTCCAGCCTCAGAGCTCCCGTGGCAGGGGACAGGCACATCTTGCCCCCCAGCCTAGGTGCTGCTGCGGGGAGAGAGCGCTGGGGGAGTCCTCTCTCCCCGCAGTATCCTCGGAGCACTCTCCTGCACCCTAAACCCCTCATTCCTGGCCCCACCCCAGAGCCCGCACCCTCAGCCAGAACCCTCACCCCCTGCACCCAACCATCTGACCCAGCCCTGAGCAACTCAGCCCCAGCCCCACCCCAGAGTCCGCACCACCAGCCAGCCAGAGCTCTCAGACCCCTGCACCCCAACCCTCTGACCCCAACTAAATCATCCCAGCCAGCGCTTTGTCAAGCTGGACCTTAAAAACCTCTAAAGATGGAGATTCCACCATCTCCCTGGGTAACCCATTCCAGTGCTTCACCATCCTCCCAGTGAAATAGTTTTTCCTAATATCCAACCTAGACCTCCCCCACTGCAACTTGAGACCATTGCTCCTTGTTCTGTCATCTGCCACCACTGAGAACAACTGAGCTCCATCCTCTTTGGAACCCCCTCTCAGGTAGTTGACGGCTGCTATCAAATCCCCCTCACTCTTCTCTTCTGCAGACTAAATAAGCCCAGTTCCCTTAGCCTCTCTTCATAAGTAATGTGCTCCACCCCTAATAATTTTTGTTATCTTCCGCTGGACTCTCTCCAATTTGTCCACATCCTTTCTGTAGTGGGGGGACCAAAACTGGATGCAATACTCCAGGTTTCAGAGTAGCAGCCGTGTTAGTCTGTATCCGCAAAAAGAACAGGAGTACTTGGGGCACCGTAGAGACTAACAAATTTATTAGAGCATAAGCTTTCGTGGACTACAGCCCACTTCTTCGGATGGTTCCATTCTATATGCATCCGAAGAAGTGGGCTGTAGTCCACGAAAGCTTATGCTCTAATAAATTTGTTAGTCTCTACTGGACCCCAAGGACTCCTGTTCTTTTTGCGGATACAGACTAACACGGCTGCTACCCTTGAAA